CTGATCTGCCTCACCAGGGAAGAGCGCAATGATGGTGCCAACTTGGGCCAGTGAAGCAACGTCCTCCACAACTAGACTGAAGAACAAAACGACAGAAACTTGTCTGTTCCCCTTCCCCCAATTCCCCAGCATTGTTCCCATTCCCCCAATTCCCCAATAAAAATCTTTAAAAAAAAAGAAAAAAAAAGAAAAGAAGTGTTTAGGCTGCCTTTTTCAAGTAGTTGTAGGTTCCATGGGGTGGTTGCTTACTGGTTCTTGGAAGAGTCCAGGGATCCCTTCAGGGAAATTTCTGAATGCTATAAAAACTTAACATGAAACCATGTGTATGAACAATGCAACTTTCCACAGGAAAAAACATAGCTTCCAAAGTCTTAAAGGAATTCATGACCTAAAAGTCTTAAAACTGTGTAAACAGAAGAGTATCAATGAGAAAAGAGCCTTATTATCTAGCTACTAATATGTAAATATCTGAGTATACCACAGAAGTAGCAATCAGACACTACTTTCTAATATTTTATTATGAAATTAGATTAGGGAACATCACAAAGTATAGACAACTCATCAATATTCTTAATATTCAAGAATGGCTAGCCTCTAAATGAAATAAAACCCTAGAATACTATAATTATACTGGTTCCGTACAGCACAATTGATCTTTAAATATAAAGGTTCTTTACAGTACTTAATGTGTATCAAAATTCCACTAATTTTCTGCAATAATGAAAGCTAGTAGTCAGTGATCACTAACAAATACGAAATGGTGTATTCAGTAAAACACAGAGTAAACATAGAGTCTGTAGTCTAACTTCAGACATCCTTCTCTGTAATTCTAGAGAAAAAATTTTTCCATGCTACCTTACCCCAGCACACAACGCCAAACTTTATCATTACACAAGGATGAGATAATAACTTTAAAGGGAGAAACACAAGATAATCTGTTGAAAACAGAGTTTGAGTATTTCATAAACTTTTCTTCATGAGGGTTCCATAACAAGTTGAAAAGTTGTGACCAAAAAAGATTTGTGTACTGAAATCAGTTGGAAACAATGAATACCATAACCCTATTTTCAAGTTTCAAATGTATTTTATCATAAAAGCTGTGAGAAAGCCGGAAGTAAAAAAACTCATGTAATTTGTTTAAATGAGCATTTCTCCAATTTCAGTGAGTAGGAAATACTCCTTTTTAAAGTTATCTTATTAACTAGATATCAGACTAAGGAGAGCTTTTTCAAAGTAAATAAAAGTATCTAACAAGAATGACAAGACTCCTTTATTCCTAGAAATATCCCACTTCCTTGTTTTATCCAGGAACTTCCTCCTGTAGAAATAGAATACCAGCTAACGTATTTCAATGAGCTTACGACATCACTAACTATAAAACACATTATTATTTTACATATCCCAGCTACAGAAAAAAGTGCCAGTTATAATCATAAACACCAATGGCTATAAAATATAGCCAGAGGTGTGAAGTGTGAAAACAGAATGTCTTAAAACAATGAACTATATGATTACAAATATTTACTATTTCAATCTATTTAATTCCAATGTTTAAATAATAAGCATTTAGAAAGCAAAACGTTATTTTCAAAAGATGAGGATAGAATTGTGATAAAAGAAGAAAATCTGTTAAAAATGAAACCAGTGGAGGGAAGTAACAGACCCAGTAGAAAAGATACTACAATTCTCAAGAACACAGTCAAAGCATAGGCAGTGGGCTTTCCAAACTACAACACCTTCTCTATTTTCCAAACAGGTTTCTGTATGTGGTATATTTTTACATATTGACCTTATTTCTAATGGTCCTATTTTATTCACTTATTAATTACAATTGTCTGTGAATTCTTGTGGATTTTTCTACACAATCATGTCATCTGTGAATAAATACAGCTTTTTTTCTTCCTTTCCAATCTTTATGTCATTTATTTCATTTTCTTGCCTTATTGTACTGGGTAGGCCCTACACTACTAAAAAAACATGGTAAGTGTGGACATGCTCTCTTGTTCCTGGTCTCAGGAGGAAAGCATTCAATATTTCACCATTGAATATGTTAGCTATAGGGTGTGTGTGTGTGTGTGTGTGTGTGTGTGTGTGTGTGTGTGTGTGTAGTTGCATATATGCTTTATGAAATTTAGCAAGTTTTTTTTTTTTNTATGCTTTATGAAATTTAGCAAGTTTTTTTTTTTTTAAGATTTTATTAGAGAATTGGGGGAGGGGAACAGACAAGTTGCTGTCCTTTTTGTTCTTCAGTCTAGTAGTGGTGGACGTCGCTTCACTGGTCCATGTTGGTATAATCATTGCGCTCTTCCCAGGTGAGGCAGTAGCTTGCCGGCCATTGGATGGCCGTTCACAGTGGCTCTTGGCAGCTCACACCAGCTGCCGGCGTTCACGGTGGCTGCCGGCCACACACGGTAGCTTATAGCAGCCCCACTGCAGCTGGCGACTCACAGCAGCCCAGCTCTCGGTTGAGCTGTTGTTCACCATCTTAGCTGCAGAGGGCAGTCTCACTGGTCCTCAATGTGGGATCCAAACCGGGGCCCTGCTGCTCAGAGCTGGCGTCCCAAGCCAGCTCTTAACCAACATGCCACTCAGCCAGCTCAAATTTAGCAAGTTTTCTATTCCTAGTTTTTAGAATGTTTAATGTGACAGTATTATGAATAACATGTTTTTTTCTACTGAGATCACCATATGGAATTGTTCCCTCCCATTTCCTTCCCCCACTTTATTCTGTTAATGTTAATGTAGTGAATTAAAATGATTTCCAAGCATTAAATCAACCTTGCATTTCTGGAATACATCTTACCTGGTCATGATGTATTATTATCTTTTTTGTATCACTGGACTTTTGCTAATATTTTGTTTAGGATTTTTGTGCCTGTGTTCATGAGATACTGGCTTGTAATTTTCCTTTCTTATAACATACTTGTCAGGTTTAGTATGTTGAATTCATAGGATGAGTTAAAAAGTATCATATGCTTTATTTTTTTTAATGTACATTGTTAATACCTCTTACTTTCCAAGACAAAAGTCAATTTCCTAACAAGAGGTTATAATTCACCTTACCTTATTTCCTATGTAAAATATTACCAGCCATAACTATTATTTGCACTTACAAGGACACAGAAAAATAGGTTTTTCTCATGGATAATACCGGAAGGAAACAAAGTATTTTTAAAAACTTACTTAGTACAAAAGAAGGTTATTTCAAATAAAGTGGTCCAAAATATCATTTTTAAACAACCAATGCCCAAGTCGGAAACAAATACAAAAGAAACAAAGCTAAAATGCTTCACAGTCACACTCACAGTAAGTTAGTGCTAACAGGTTACTAAAGCAGAAGCGCCATGCAATAAAAAGTTTCTGAGGAGTTATGTGTAGGAAGCTTATTAATATAATTACTGTAGGGTCAATTTTTATATTAACTATCATCTTTTCAATAAATCTGAATGCTCATCTATGATAGTCTTTTAAAGCAGCATATAGATGTATTTTCTATATCAAAACCTATTGGGTGGGTTGGCCGAGTGGCTCAGTTGGTTAAGAGTTGGCTTTAGAGCGCAGGCTCTGAGCAACGGGGCCACTGGTTCGATTCCCACATGGGCCAGTGACGCTGTGCCCGAGCTGAGTTGCTGCTGAGCTGCCAACAGGTGGCAGGATGACTCAGCTGGTGTAACAAGAAGATTGCCCATTCAATGGAGGGCTATGCCCACCCACAACTAAGACTGAACTCAGCACCTTGAGCTGAGCTGCCGCCTGGACGGCTCAGTGGATAGAGCGTGTGCTCTTAACAACAAGGCTACTGGTTCGACCCCTGCATGGGATGGTGGCTATGCCCACCCACAACTGAGACTGAACACAGCACCTTGAGCTTAGAGGCCACGAGCTGCCAACGGGAAGCCAGATGGAGACTGGCGCCCTCCACAACAAAGATTGAAGAACAACAACTTGGCTAGTCCCCTTCCCCAATTCCCCAACACTGTTCCCTTCCCCCAAAATCTTAAAAAAAAAAAAAATGTGTGAGCAAAGCTTTAAAAAAAAAAAAACCTATTGGGAATTCTGGTGAGAACATCACTCTACTTAAAAGTTAAAAATTTATAAAATACTTTCAGAGATTAAGAGTTTTATTTCTTTCAATAATACTAAGAAGTTTAAAAGAGACAAAGGGATTAAAGATCTTGCAAAGAAATATTTTAACGTCAAAGACAAAAATGTGTACAGTAATCAATTTTTGCCACAATAGCTTGGTTCCCAGAAAATTCAGCATAACAAATAATTTTACATACATCATATTTCTCTGTAAGAAAAATAATCCTGATAATAATCTTGATTGAGCAATCCAGGTAATAATCCTGACAGAAGCCAATGTATGTTTAAAAAATCAAAATTAGTCAATAAGTTATTAAAAAAACTATCATAAATTTCCTTAATTTTTATATTTAAAGTAGCAAAACAACAAATACAAATTTAAAAACCAGAGGGTTACTTAAATGATTTTATAGTTAAGGAAACTAAAAGAGTAAGACTTGCTAAATAAACAGCTTAAGTCTCTGTATGACGTGCAATATTCCTTCAATTGTACAATTTCCCTTTTAAAAGTTCCATGGTACAGATGTTAACCTATCATCATGCAAGGAAGCCAAGATATGTTTCCAGATTGAAAAAAAAAAAAAAGTACTGCTAAGGAAGAATACCTGTATCATATGCTTGATACACCTGAAACTGATATAAGAACATTTAATATTCAAGTGATTAATCAGTTTACTTCTGAGAATTTTTAGAAAGGCTTTAGGGATATACTTTGGATAGTCTAAATCTTTCTTTAAAAGCTAACCAAGATGGTATATACATTTGCCACCTTTATTTTTCATAAATCTCCCTGTAGTAAGCAGAGGCACTCAAACATCATTTGATTAACCCCTCTACTCAAATAATGCCTATTTAATACCTATTGCAGTACCTTAATATTTAGCAGTATCATTTAGGTTTTAAGGTTTTTCTCTCTTAGCCCTCTCACAAATATAGAATCTTAGCATAAAGAAGAATCACTACAGGGCTTAACTCAGTGTTATTTATAAGGGCTAAACAGTATTATTTATAAGAAGGGGATAAAATTTTACATCTATTTATTTGCTTTAACAGTGATAAAGATACTATGTAGATGCTAGTTTTGAGCTTTCCCCTGCTTTCAATTAAAAAAAATTGCTTTAAATAATATTTGATGATGGGGATTCTTCTATTCTTCCTGAGTCTTCTCTGAATGAACCTCTAAGGATTCTGCAGCAAAAATCACTGTGGAATAGGGATAGATTCTTCCAAGAATAAGCAAAAACAAAATGCTAGTCTTTGAACAGGCTCACTGCAAATGACTGAAAGTTCCACACTTGTAAATAATTGATTTCCTTAAAAGATATTTTACAGTATTTACCAAGTAATTTTTTTATAAACAGCTAACTGCCATTAGTGATTTTTCATAAATTTGGTTAATAACTATATTAGTAAACTTATACTATCAATTCCACATTTGTACTGCTTATATCCTAAAGCTATACAAAATATGCTAAAAAACAATAGTGAAAACTAGCAAAACATACTAGAAAAATTGTGTAAAAGCTATAATTGACACACTTCATTTTCAGAGTCCAAATCTTGACATAAACAGATGCTAAACATAATCAGGTTTTCAGACCTTTCTAAGATTGCTCAGCATTACACTAAGTATTACAGACCTCATATTGTTTTTTTATTCCTTATTATCAAGGAGGATAAACCTAATCAAAGTATTTTCATATTGCTAAATTTAGTGGCATAGATTAAGCGACACAAATTTAGAGAAAAGGGAGATATTACATGGAAAAATTTGGAGGTTTCATAGAAGAAGTTAGACAGATTTTCAATCTTTAAAAGAATGACTAGAATTCAGTTAGGCAGAGGGAAATGCACTCCAGGAAAATCACCACCAAAAAAGGAGGCAGAAAATAACGAGGGAAAATGAGCAGAAAAAGATTCCTTACGGAAGAAAGCAAAGACCAAAGTAGAGGTAACAGAAGCAGAATAACTGAGGTATGATAAGTTATGGACCTAGCTAAGTCACTTAGCTGAGGAAACGGAAGTTTCAGTATGGAACGTCATTCAAGTAAGCGAGAGTAGGACGGTGGCCGTGTAAACTAGAGGCGGTGGATCCAGCTATGACATTGCATCGAGAGACCAGGGACTTCAAGGTGGTAGAGAAAGCGACGTGGACTACAAACACAAGCAAATGACTCTAAAGGCTTTTAGACTGCACCAATTAGAAAATGGTGGTATCACTTCCAGAGGTGAGAGGAGGGAGGAGAAATTAATTTATGTGGGAAATAATGAATCATCTTAGGCATGTGATTATGCCCGAAATAATGCTGAGGTGCCCGATGGGGAAATCTGATATACAGAATGAGATTTATATTTAAATTTATAGAACTGCCAAAGGTTAACACAGTAAATAAGGAAAATATACTGAAGAACCAGAGAAGAGAGCACGTCAGCTATCTCAAGGATGTTCTATTTACCTATGAATCTTCATAATGGAAAAAGCCATGGAATAAAAACAGGAGACTCAGATTCCAGTCCTAGCTCAGTAACTCATAGTGTATACTGGTCAACCAAAAAAACTACTTGGGCCTTACTTTCCTTTAAGGTGATGGTACAGAAATGGGAAAGATTATCTAATTCTAATATTCTGTGATTCCACATACCTCAAGTAAGACTAAAAGATCAGGGCATTCACTCATACCTAAACAGGAAAAAAAAAAAAACAACCCTACACAGAGCTATAAGATAGGTCCATAAATGTTCTTAATTTAATCTGCATTCGCCCCCTTATTTAAAAAAAGAAATGACTAAATGTATTGTCAGGCTATCCACAATAGCTGTTAGTAATAAGTAAAAAATGTACATTTACATCATCTTTTCCAGTTAACAAAATACTTTTAAATAAATTATTTTATTTAATCCTCACAAAACCCCGTGAGCAAGACAAATATTACCATCGCCATTTTACCGATGAGGGAAAAGGACCAGAAAGATTAACAGCACTGGCAAATGTCATGCAGTTAGTAAGTGAAGAACCAGAGCTCAACTCAGGTAAAAGTCCTAATTCATGGCCCTTTCTGTTAGGCTGCCAGAGTTTTCAAATTAAAATGTGCAGTATCTCTAAAGAAAATATAATAGTAAATAAAAAGAAAAAACAAAAAGAATGGAGAACATGAAAAATACAGTGAGCAGCAAGTATTAAAATGCTGATGCAAAAAGTAAAAAATAGGTAGGCAAGTATTTTTCTTTTTCAGCAAATGGAAAGCAAAAAAGGTAGTAAGAGATACAGATACCATTAAGAAGCAAAAGTTCGAGCTATGAAAAAAATAAAAAAATTAAGATGCCACCTGAAAACATTTATGAAGCCAAGACAAACACATCATGCTATTTATTCTTCTTACCTTTTCAGTTGCTGAAACAGATGGCTTTGATACAAAACCCAACCTGTCCTTCACAGATAACTTAGTTACATTCTAAAAAAATTAAAATGGACATATTCAGTGTTTCCCCAAACATATATAAGTCTGTTGGGATTTTGAACATTCTGATTCTACTAACATATATTGGCTATATAAGCATACTGATGTTATTCACAAAAACCTGGGCCTTTTTCAAAGACAGAGACAGAGAGAAAATGTGGGTGGAAAAACAAACAATGTGCAATATTACTCAATCATGAAAAACTATGATGTAAAATAAGAAGCTCAAACCAGGTGGTTGCTCAAGTCCCTCCACTGACACAGAATCATAAATCTTAGAATTCTTTGTTGACAGATAGAAAGTTTGAACATTTTAAATATTAGATTTTAGAAACTGAAATATGTTCCTGCTTCTCGAGCTTAAAAATAAAAGCCATTCTTTTTAAAAGTATGTTTCTTTTATAGCCAAATACAACACTGCATTTGGTGATGCTTTGGAATAAAAGGGTTGGGTTTTTGTTTGTTTGTTTTTAGTAACTAATGTACCAATTTACATTTTCCTTTTTTTTTTTTTTTGTAGAATCTCAATATAGTACTCTTCAGGAATTATTTAGAAAGACTGTTTTAATAAGGCTATATCCATTAGCTACGTAGGATAGTATAATATATCCTAATTGTATTTCACATGACAAATACTGAAATATCAGGAGACAAAGGAAAGCTAAGTTTCAGAGTCTGAGGGTGCAGAAATAGAAACTGCCACTCAAAGTATGTAAGGGAGTGGGAAGGGAATGACAAATGGAGAAGAAAATCCAAGTCAGGAATAAGTGATGTGAAGTTCTGAAAGAGCTGTGTAAGTAACTTGAAACATTATGCTAAAACCTAACTGCTCTCATTTCAGGCAACTGCGTAATTAAAATCTCTGGAATAGAATTCCAGGTAAGTGAAAGACGATGGGAAAAGTAAGATTTAGTATACTGAACTTCACTTTTTAGGCTGTTCTGCTGAACAATACCTCCTCCACAAAGTGAAAGACAGCCCTTTCTTATAAATAAGTATTAACTAGAGAGAAGGATTTAAGATTCTAATACTATAGAAAAAGTAGAATGTGAAAATGTGATAGTCACAAAAAAAAATTTACAGGTGAAGTTCAAATATGTATAAACTATCATATTTCAGTATAAAATATATAAAACTAACTATAATTCAAATCATCAAGGGAAACTAATTTACTGAGAACCTATTATTATGTGACAGTTACGATAATAAGACTTTTCATTTACCTGAGGAAGGTCTGCACTGGCACTCTGGGCTTCTGCTGGTTCAATAGTACTGGAGGGCACTGGCCCCAACCGCTCTTTGACTGATTGCTTCACAACAGGCAAAATGGGCTGCTGGACTAAAGGCTGCATTACCTCAGAACAAGAAAAAAAAAGTTAAATAAAAGCTAATTAGTGCATAAGCATGGAAAGTCACCTTTGTTATTTTGTTAATAAATTGCCCTCGCAAAGAAAGTCTTAAAAGTCCAGATGATCAAATCCTAGCAACCTTCCAAATTCCTTTTCTCTTTCCCTCTCCCTCTTCCCCCCGCCTCTCTCTCCCTCACACACACACACACCTTTTTCCTTGCATATAACTTGTTTATAGAGAAAAAAATTAAAATCTACCCTTCACTTTTTTTTAAACAAAGAGGAAAAAGTTAAACTGAGAAACGAACTGCTGTAAGGCACCTCTACAAGCAATTAATCTAAAATTACATATTGAGTGAGTCACTGATTAAAAGACAGGGAGGGAAAGAGGAAGAGAGGGAGGGAGGATTTCCAAGATGAATCCATAGTCTGAGTTTCTGGAATATGTATGGCTACCATGTACTGAGTATCTCTTATCTACCAGGGGCTTTTCTATATGCTTGACACATATTACAATTGTCTAAACTCGGGATTAACCTCACAAGAAAATGAAAGAAGTAACTTCCTCACATCTATATATTTAACAATGGTAGAGCCAGCATCTAAGCTCAACACTATGCTTTCTAAGAGCATTCTAAGAAAAGCATTGAATTTCACACAAATTTCTCTCTTACCTTTGTAGAAGTGGTTTGTAACTGCTGGGTGCTTCCTTCTCTGTGCCAATAAACCTTAATAAAGCGATTGTTTAGCACTGCTTCTGTACTTGATATTGCTTTCTTTGCTTCTTCATATGTTGCAAATTGGATAAGGGCACCTTCAGGATCACCATTATAGGCAACCTTAGATTTAAAATATTCAGAAGAATCAAAGAGTGTGATTCTGTAGATCCATATTAATAAGTAGTATATACAAGGCATTTCACTTCAAATTTCGTGTTCTTTCCATAATAGCGGTATTTTCCAAAGTGTGGTATAGAAACTACTGGTGGTATGAGGCAGTACAAAATAGGGATTAAGAACAGAGACTCTGAATTGAACTGCTTGACTCAGACTTTGCTACTCTCACAGGAGCAAGGTATTTACCCTTTCTGTGCCTGCTTCCTGTTCCATAAATAGGATAACAATATACAACTGTCATGTTGAGTTAAATATTGATTCATGTAAAACAGGGAATATATAGTAAATATTCAATAAATAACCACTATAAGGATGATTTTAGGTAGCATTTATATAATTATACATATATGGGGATTTAAAACATCAATTCATCAACATGCTCAATTAGGATAAAGCTAAAGTGCTTTTTAAAGTTTCTTAAAAACATGTGTTTATAAATAATAATGCAAGTAGTATGCAGATACAGCAAAAAAAAACCAGTGAAGAGATGAGGAAATACCAACCTCACTGGTAATTGAGAAAATGCAAATTGAACAACAGTAAGATACCATGCTTTGCCCCTCAGCTTTGACAATTTTCTTAAATTTAATATTACCAGTGTAGTTAACAATGTGAGGAAGAAATTTCTGAGACCTCTTTTGTCTAGATCTAATTGTGATAAATCAAATTAAAATGCCATAAGAAGATATTCAGAGATATTCCAGGTTAGGTAAACAACTACAGGGCAATATGTAGACTATGGATTCACATATTTTAAAATATGTATAAAAATATATATTTTAAGTTTCCATATTGATTGATAAGTAGATAGACAGATACTCAGAAACACAAAACGGAAAATCTAGAATAACACAGTAAATTATTAACAATAACACTGTCAAATTATGGGGTATATGAGGACAGAAATGTGAGACACATGAAGAGTTGAAGGGGAAATATTTTCTTTAAATTCTATATAAATCTCTACTGCCCCATCCCAAGTAAGCATGAATTTTTTCAACTATTACTTTTATATTATTTTTTTAATGGCAAGAACACAAAATTTTCCAAATTATCAACTTAAGCTGTACTCTCTAAAATTTATTCTTATTTTTATCAGATGATGAGAAATAATTTTTAATGAAAAGAACACCATACAACTTAAAAAAAAAAAGCCCAACATTATTTCAACACTTTCAACATATCATATAATATAAACTCAATACTAAATAACCTCACAAGTTATATACACCCAAGCCAAGGTCTAATTTTAGGTCAAATACAAATATACTGATATTTTTCTTGAAAGATGTTCAAAACTGGAAAAGGAAAAAGTAAATGTTTAAACTAATTAAGGATTACATGGTATTTGGGCTCCAAAAGTATTTGTTAAATGCATCCCAACATAGAGGCAGCAAAAATAATCTGACTAAAGCATTTTATTGTAATGACTGAGACAATGAGGAAATGAAAACTACTATAAGATTATATTTTACCAGTGTGATTATTTAACTTTGCTTTAATTTTATGATAACCTCTATCAGGTAAAAAGTATATAATATGATCAATCAAAACTCCTTGTTCAAAGTACAAAACTTATTCAAAATCACATATTTTTCTAATATAAAGTTTCATTCATATCCAATTTTCCAAATTTAGAATATTACCAAATTTTCCATAATATTGCTTTATGCAAGTATTTTTCTTATTATATTAAGTTCCCTCCGTTAAGTAATTAAGCAAAGACAACAGAATCATTTCATAGCTCTTACCTGTAAGTTAACTAAGGTTCCGAATCGACTAAAATGCTCATTAAGTTTGCTGATATTATTTAATTCTGGAGGAACTTTTCTAAGTTCAAGTTTGGTATTTTCATTTCCAAACTGAACCTTTTTCTGGAAGCCTGGGCTGTTTGTTCTATTAAAATTTGGTCTGCAACAAAAATAAAGTTAATTAGTATAGTCATTTACAAATCCTGATCCCTAGCAAGTATAAAGGAATAAAGTTTTACAATTTAAGTTCCACTTTTTTTCAATATTGAAATTATTGGTTGATAATGGAAATTTAAATTTCCTTCCAAAACAAATGAAGTCTCCAAATTAGTACTGTTCACATCTTTCATGGAAGCCAACTGAAAAGGATTCTACCATATCACTCATTACTTGCAACTCCCAATCCACTCCTATGTAAAATTCTTAGCAGGAAAGGTCCTAGCACCCTCTCTCAGTCAGTTTGCATATATAATCTTTGTTCCATTTCTGCAAAAGATAGCCCACTGAAATGTATCCTATTTTAAAACTTTGATTAAAGGTAGGAATGGTTGTCTCATCGCTTCCCACTTTAAAAAAAAATCAGAACTACTAACCATTTGACACTTGAAAAAAAAGGCAAAACTATGGCCCAGAGAGGTTACACTGCTTGCCCTAAATCACAGAATTAAAGGCAGAGCCAGAACTAGAAATTACCCATTTTTGAATGATTTGAACGCTCTAAAAGTGTGATTCTAGTGTCTCCCCAAACATGCAAATTTATAAATGAATCACCATACACACTCCAACATTCTGATTCCTTACCGCTTTCTCTGAAGTCCCTTCTTGACCAGCCTCCCCTACCCTCAAAAAATTCCATTCCAGCTCTTGGCAGGAACTGCCTGCATGGTAAGCCTCCTCCCATCCTGACCCATGCCTTCTTCCCTAATAGGGGAGCTCATGACTATCCTTTATATATGCAGTATTCAATGATATCTTTAACTTAAGGAATGTTTTTTTTGTAGGTGTGGGGAGGTGAAAAGAGGAAAAATTGTGTTCACAAACACCACACCATTTCTGTATGAAAATGCCTTCCAAGTACTAGACAACTAACAAATTTTTAGAAAACTTACACTTTAGTGTGGGGGGGGAGTTGCCTCTAGAACAAAATCATATAAATTATATTTTGAAAATGAATACTATGCTGTCATAATATTCCAACTATCCTAAAAATTACTGCATAAAAGAATTCCTCAATTTTCTCTGGCAGCTTACTTATCAAACCAAGTCTTCTTTGTAGTAACTCCAGGCTCCCCAGAACCAATGGTTCTTTTCCTTGACTCTGAATCCACTACTATCCTCATACTGCTTTTATTAGGAGGCTTTTCTGTTTGAAAAGAAAATAAAACATAGATTAATATTTTGCATTTATCACAACTACTTCCTTAAATTCATACTGAAAACAAAGTTCTGGCTTCTTGTCCAAATATATATTTTAGAAGAAACATAAATAAATGTATATTCAAATATAGTAATTTAAGGGATTTTAACTTATTCAAATACATTTCAACCTAACTGAAGAAGAATCAGTAACTCTCACATGTCAAATTAAAATATGACTCCATGGGCTACTTCTGTGGAAGGTGGTAAAACCCATGTCACTGTTTTCCTTTGCCATCACCCTCACCACAAATGTGACCTCTAAGTATTGATAACTTAGAGCTGTGATTGAAGAGATTTGCTTATTTAAACATCAACATATTAACATAATTAAAGCATGCCTGATTTAAAAAGGTAAATATTCAACAATGAAATGCGTGCCAAAGAGCTATAAATATCTGCTCCTGTCAACATTTTACATTTACTTAGGTGGAATTTGATACAGCACATTTAACCTGTTATTCCCAAATGACACGGAAGTTTAAAACAGGCAAGCCTTAATCCACATAGAATATAACTTTAAATTCATTTTAAAAGTATGAATAAATTGGTTGTACAAATCCTATTCTTAGTATAGTATTTCTAAACACATAACTAACCAAAGGAACTCAGGATCTGTTTGAGGACAATCTCTCTCATGGCTATAACCATGACCTCTATGCAGGAGATCACATTACTTTATCACAGGTGAAGTCTGTCTGCCCTGAGTCCTAAATTTCTAACTTCTTGGTTTTCTCTGGCCATGTAGTATCCTAAAACTATGAGTATCCTAAAACTATGTGCAAACTATCTTCATATTAAACGTACTTTTTACATCTTAAACATTTCTATTAATGAAACTACCACTGTCCTCCTATTTGATTTCTGACTCTGCCCACGTCTCTTCAATTCATGTTGCATGTATTTCCTCCAATTTGTCACTGACACAACCTTGGTACAAACTTGCATTACTTTTCACCTAGTCTACTACTGTCCTGAGCTTCTGCTTCCAGCATCGATTTATCCTATGTAGAGAGCTGCCAAAACCAGTATCCCAGAGCCCTGCTGCTTTCCTCTATCTTCAACCTCTCTCTCTAAACAGGCACTTCCCATCCATATCTAAACAAGCTCAAATTACTCCATTTTTAAAAGAAACCGCCTAAGACCACTCTCCCCTCCAGCTAGACTTCTCTCTCTCCCTACTCTCTCAGCTATTTCCTAAAAGATGTCTACACTTGAGAACTTTGCTTCCTTACAACCCATTCACTAATCCTCTGAAAATTGGTAGCTGCTCCCATTATTGCACTTAACTTGCTCATGCTAAAACAGCTGACATCCTAACTTGTTGCTTAAACTTATGAATACATTCCAGTTCTTTTCTTACGTGACATCTCAAGAGCATATAATGCTCTTGATTACCTTCCCCTTCTTCTTAGATATTATCGCCCCTCGATTTTCAGGCCTCCCCACTCCGTTTTTGTGTGTGCCTTTTTGGCTTCATTTTTTTCAGTGTCTTTAAGCTCCAGTTTCTCTACCACTGCTCCAGTGCTGACATTGTCCAGGTTAGTTATTTGGGCTTTCTAATCTCACTCTACACAATCTGCCTAAGACATCGTATCTATTGCCATAGCTTCATTCATCAATTTAGTCATTCTCAAGGGGGGCGGGGGAGTATCAGAAACACATGAGGCTTTTGGAACCCATGTCAGTAAGGTCGGGCTTGCAGAGTTGGGTATATGTCCTTCCATCTTCCTTTACTTCACACTATTTCTAATGGCCCAGAAGATTAAGTAAGAAAATTGTTCTAAATACACTTACGATTCCAAAATCTGTATTTTCTAGCCAGCTGTCTCTTACAGACATCAGACTTCCAGATCCTATCTCCGTGGGACATTTTCACGCCAATGCCCCAGGCACACAACGAATACTTCCAAAATTAAACTTATTTTCCAAATTGGTTCTCCCTCTCAATGAATACTATCATCTGCCTAATTTCCAGAGCAGAAACCTGGTGTCTTTAATTTCATCCTCTTCATTACCCCCATTCTAAGTCCCACAATCCAGTAAGTTATAAGTATTGTCAATTCTTTCCACTAAACTTAATCTTTCACTTCCTAATGTTACTACCCTAGTCCAGCTACTATCATCTCTTCTCTAGAATTCTTTAAATGCCTTTAATTGGCCTCTTACATCTTTTACTCCCTCTGTTCTAGTCACGAAGTTCTTCCAGACTCTCAAAAGTATTAGAGGGTGTATATGCTTTATCTGCCCACTTTCTCTGGCTAACTCTGACTTACCCTACACATCTCTACAGCAGATAAGGTGGAAAATGTCCAGTATCTAGCATGGGTGATGTACACAGTGCAAACTGTAGTTTCTTTGCCCAGTGGTATCTTCAGGGGACCAGTTCTGCAACAGGGTTTTTTGGTGTTTTTTAAAGATTTTTATTGGGGAATTGGGGGGATGGGAACAGTGCTGGGGAATTGCGGGAAGGGGAACAGACAAGTTGCTGTCATTTTGTTCTTCAATCTAGTTGTAGAGGATGTTGCTTCACTGGCCCAAGTTGGCACCATCATTGCGCTCTTCCCGGACGAGGCAGATCAGTCGCCGGCTTCTGGACGGCCGCTCACTGCGGCGGCTGGCCGCTCACACTGGCTGCTGGCTACACACAGTAGCCCATGGCAACCCACTGCCACAGGGGCTGCAGCCTACGCCGTCGCCTGTGACTCACAGTAGCCCAGCTCCAGGTTGAGCTGTTGTTCAGCATCTTAGCTGTGGAGGGCAGTGTCACTAGCCCTCATATGTGGGATCCGAACCGGGGCCCTCTGGCATCCCAAACCAGTTCTTAACCAACGCGCCACTCGGCCAGCCCTGCAACAGGGTTTTTGGCTTTATTCCTGTCTTGCAAGCCTGGTTCACTGGCTCTTCAGGGTCTTTGAGCTATCCAATCTCCTTTTTTATTTTAATATGTTCTTTATCTACAGCTTCACTAAGAGAAGCAATAATGTGTTTCTCCCCAGTAGTCGTGATGTGTTTGCTCCAATTCATCCGTATTCTCGCACTCAGATTCTCTTTTCTTGTTATTTATTTAAAAGAGGGTTTTAAAAAAAAAAACGGAGGGCCGGCCGAGTGGCTCAGTTGGTTAAGAGCGCCAGCTCTGAGCAACAGGGTCACCAGTTCGAGTCCCACATGAGACAGGGAGCTGCACCAGAGCTGAGCTGCCGCTGAGCTGCCAACAGGTGGCAGAATGGCTCAGCTGGTGAGAGCGCGTGCTCCCAAAAAGGTTGCCGGTTTGACTCCTGCATGGGATGGTGGGCTATGCCCACCTGCAACTGCAATTGAACATGGCACCTTGAGATAAGCAGCCACGAGCTGCCAACGGGTGGCTGGATGGTGACTGAATATGGGAGCTGAGCTAGCTGCGCCCTCCACAACTAAGATTGAAGGACAACAACTTGACTGTTCCCTTCCCCAATTCCCCAACACTGTTCCTCTCCCCCAATTCCCCAATAAAAAACAAACAAAAAACCCCACAAAACTGTGGTGACCCAAACTTAAAAAAAAATAGGATTCAAATCAAATTGGGTATAAATTAAAACGATCCTCAAACCTCCATCACAAAAAGTTCTTTCAACACACAAAGTGGATGCTCAGCAGAATCTGAGTTTCCAATGAACAAATTTTTAAAAATGCAAGCATTAAGTAGTCACAAGTTTACTAAACCACATTAGTTACTGACTGCTATTTAATTAAGTTGGACTTTCATTCATGAGTGATGAGACATGATTTTTTTTTAAGAGGAAAAAAAAAAAAAAGACAGCAAGGAAAAAACCAGAACAAAAATAGGATTTAAGTTAGTTGAAATATAAGTTAGAGAAAAAAGACATTTTTATTGGCATACATATTTTCTATTATGTCTGCCAATCCTACACTTCCCTATATCAAATATTATCTGTAGCAAATGCTCCATCTTTCAAATTAATGTGAACTTTCTCCCTCTTCTGAATCTTCATATCCGTTTACACCTCTAGTCTAGCATAGTAGTTTTGCTGCCTCATCTTGTGATTTTATCAGTCTAAACTCTTATCTACTTCTCCTGTTTAGAAATTTTATCAACAATACTATTTTCTCTAAGAAAATTTGAAAAGCTAATAAACATGAGTGATTTCCTAGAACATAATTCCTTTTGCTTAAAATGTTATAAGCAAACCAACATCAATTTCTAGCATGTCAAAAGAAAACAAAGTAAAATACACATCAAGCACAAGTTTGTACAGCTGATTTCATTATCCAAACTATGAAAGAATCTATCTTTAGGAGTTAAACCATTACTCTAAAGAACCTATTAAGACTGCATATGATTGAAAATTCCCAACAAAAGCTACCTTAGAAAATATATATTTTTGTGAAATTCCTTTCTCCTTAGATGGTAGAATAAAGCGTCACCAATACCACAAATAGGGAACCTCACATTTACCTTTGCTCTTATGGGAGACCAAAGGATCCAAGAAATAAACATAAACACCATCCCTTACTCAACCCCAATAAATGCAGGACCAACTTTCTTTATAAACATTTTGTCACTCTTGATATTATGAAGATGGTAAGAAGAAAGATTAACTGTAGTACCTCTGGGAGGCAAATCCATATCCCCTGATGTCAGTCCTATCAAGTTAGGCCTTTGAGCATGCACTCTGTGTCTATACATAGGTCTGGAAGTGTTTGTTATGCTTGGGGCCTCAGGATTATAGCCATCTGTGTCATATGTATCTGGTAATACAAAAACTGTAATTAAAAAACAATTATAAAACTCCACTTTGAAATTTTTCCATATTAACAACAGAAAAATTAAACTATATCTGATTAATACAAAACTAATGTATTTCGTATGTATTAAAAATAAAATTTAATTTTATAAAACTATAAATGTTATTAAAAAGAAAATGTAACTTAGTTTTTATAAAAATCGTAACTGAGGCTTTACATTTAATGTACGTTCAATATGTCTACATTTTATTCTATATAATTTCAGTGAAAAAATAGACCTGCTAGAGCAATTCACTCTAGACATTTTTAAATTCCTCATCTAAAACTCTGCTCTAAAACTACATTACATTTTGAATATAGAGTCAAAACTGCACCTGCAGTAAAAAGAGAGGGTGGAGCAGGCGGAGGCTGATGATGAATGCCAGTTGTTACTACAGTAGGGACAGAGCTGGTTGCAGAGTTTGGAGGAGCATCCATGCCAGATGGCTGCAAAGGAGGAAGTGGTGGTGGTGGTCCTGTCAAAACCAAAGAATAAGAAATATCATCTGAAAGCAAACAAATAAAACAAGTTATTTGTATATCCAAACATGGTATTATCATTCATCAAACTATAATATCTACAAACACCAAGCTCTTACAACTATATTAGTTTTCTAGGGTAAAATATCCTTTTAATGTATTCCAAAACAGGTTTGTGTCAAGCTATAAAGGACTATAAGAAGCTGGGAGTCATCAGGAATGTGCATAATTCAAGGCCGCTCCAAACCACATCCAACAAAGTTGGGGTATATTCTAAATGAAAATACCCTACCCTTAGTTTCCAGCAAGCATCTATAAAATTACTTTAGATACTTTTAACAAAAATAAGCATTAAACTATGAAGTATTTTTAAAAAACTATGAATGGGCAGATAATAAGTACAGGTAAACAAGCATATTTACTGACCTGTGACAGGTGGTAAACTGGGTGGTAATGGGCCTGGCGGTGGCACGGGGGGTCTCAGATTCACAGGTGGGGGTGTAAGAATTGGTGGAGGTGGAGGGAGTCCAGGAGGAGGTGGTCCTTCGACAACAGGAGGCTGTGCTGGGAAAGGCAGCATACCAGGAAGATTCACATCTTCTACAACGACCGGGTCACTTCCATGATCAAAAGGGCACATATCTCCTCTCATACAGAAACCCTTTTCTTTGAGGAACAATAAAAATAAATATGAAAAGTGCTGAACATATAAATTTTCTCTAAGTTAACAAGTTTACAACAGTAAGATATTTACAAATAGGAATATTTTTAATATTGGACAAGTATAATTAACCACATCACAAGAGCTATCTATGAATTTCCAGTAATATAAAGCACTTATCAAGTGATCGCTAACATATACACCAAAAAAAAAAATCCCAAATTAAAGTGAGTAACCTAGTTAGAAAGATAGTATAAAACTTATATATAAAAACTTACATATATTTGTCATTACAAACATGCCTGTATTTAAATCTCTCACTTAAAATTTTAAGATTGCAGCTACAGCTTTAATACTATTTATAAAACTTTTACAGTAAAACTTTAAGAGTCTTCAATTTATCTATAAAATTCTTACGTGATACTCATATTCACATTTCTAGGTTCTACTGACGCCAATAACCATTCATTTCTAAAGAAGTGAGTTTTGTCAGGAATGTTTCAGTAGCAGATTCCCTGATAACTCAGTAGACATTACTCTTGTTTGGTAAATCCCAAAAATATATTAAGACTATTAAGACTTACATGCAAATAAATAATATCTTTAAACTGACATTCAATAGTCAGTGGTGACTAACTAATGAAAGTTTCAATAATATTAAGAAATTCATGAAGTGCTCAAGATTAATTTTCCACTATTTCCAATAGGTTAAGTCTTTGAATAATTGTGTGCAATCTAAACTTCCAGTATTTATTCAGCTGGAAACATTAATTCGATATTTCCTGACAGTTGAAAGACTTACCATCATAGTCTCTACACCGTTTCTTTGGCATTGGTGGTCTGACATATGAATTATGGTCCACTTGGTCTTCATGAAATTCAGACCAACTTTCGGTAGTGTTATTACCATGATGAGTAGGAGCGATCACTGTAATAGTGCTACTCAAAGTAGGTACAGGGTAGTGGCCAGATGAAATAGTAGGTACCGAAGAAACTGGAGTATAATTATTTTCTAGTGGATCTGTTCTATCCAGATCATATTTAGGTTTTACCAGATCCCTTTCTGCAACAAAATATAAATAACGTAAAAAAATATACTCTATTAAAAAACAAAACACATCAAAGATCTAAGAAACAGTGAGATTTTTGCTAAACATGGAGAAAATGTTCAAATTTTACACAATCCTCCCTTTTAATAACTACTCAATAAACACACATGTTCCAAGTTAAGCTACTTCATTTCAATATAACTTAAACTAAAACCCACACAAAGTTGCTGTATTTAATAAGTTTTTTTCTTGGAGTTCTGTTTACAGAAAAAAGCATTTTAAAATTTTCTTCATTGCAATCTTATCATGCATAACTTCACCCCACAAAACAAAATATGCAATAGAAGTATGGTTATTTTTTCTGTGATGAACATTTAGTTGTCATCCATCTAAAGATCCTAGCATGTGTTTTTACAGTGAACATTATTTATTGAAGATTAGAATGAATGAGGGGAAGAAGAAAAAGGAGTTCATATTGAACATGAACAAAGAAATTAACAGGGCTGTATATGGTCCCAAGGAAAGAAAAAAGGTATTAAGGAGATTTGTTAAGCAAAGCAATATGCAGCGAGGTCTAGTACACATACATCACAAGGAGGAAAAAAAAAAAACCTTAAGAGAACAGTAAGCGAAGTACTGGGCTTACACAAAGGCTATAAATATTATTTCCTAGACTAAAGATGACTACAATAAAGGCTGCAAGGGTAACAAAAATCTAAGCTTAAGTAAAGGCATTTTATTCAAAGGTGTGTTTGTTTGATTGGCTATATCTTTTTTTCAATGAATGATACACATTGCAAGAAAAATTATACATGTTGGAAATCTTATGGTCTTGCAAACATGCACATCAAAAATGAAAACTTTTAACTGTTTTCATAGTTTTGAGGTATAACTGATATCTGATTAACTTAAAATATTTAAGAATACAATTTAATGAATTGTGATCTATGTATACACCTGTGAAACCAAACACCACAATCAAAATAATGTACATACTATACATACTCATCATCCCATAAGTATCCTTGTGCTCTCTGATAATCCATGTCTCCTTTACTCCATCCCGGGCAACCACCAATTTGTTTTCTGTCATCATAGATTAATTTGCATTTTCTAAGATGTTATATACATATATATTATTTTTTGTCTGGCTTCTTTCATTCAGCATAATTATTTAAAGGTTCATCCATTTTGTTGTATGCATCAATAATTCTTTCCTTTCTATCCATTGTATGGGTGGGTATACCACAATTTGTTTATCCATTCACCTATTGATGGCTATTTGGGTTGTTGCTAGTTTGGGGCTATTACAAATGAAGATGCCATGATCATTTGTGTACAAGTCTTTGTGTGGAAATACACTTTCATTTCTCTTAGGTAAACCTAGGAGTGGAATGGCTGAATCATTTGGTAGGTATAGGTTTTACATTTTCAAGATCCTGTCAAAGCGTTTTCCAAAGAGTTCCAGGTTATCTTGATCCTCACCTATACTGGATAGAATCAATCTTTTTAATTTTAGTCATTCTGATGGATGTGCAGTGGTAATTCACTGTGATTTTAATATGCATGAAATAAATTTTTTAAAAGAAAATTTTAAAAAGCATTTGCCTGGACCAAAGTAGAAAAAATGAAGACAACACTGACCAAAATTAAAACAATTTTTAAAACCCTCAAATAACAAGTATTTTCACGATAAAAGAATGCCAACCAAAATATACACATATATGTTTTACCCCTGCTTCGTGTTCTGCTCCTGCTTCTAGTCCTGCTTCTATCCCTATCCCTGTCACGAAGCCTCTCTTTACTCCAACTGCGACTCCGACTCCTGCTGTAACTGCGACTTCGCCCTCGTCTTCTATTGTACCGGTCTCTGTATGAATCTCTTCGAGGAGGGTTTCGATCATAATCTCTTTTGCGAGAACGATCATCTTTTTTCCTCTCATCACGACTTCTAAAAAAATATACGATCACTTTTATGTAAATAATTTTTAGGTAGATACAGGAAAAGCTCTAAGTGCAAAAGTCATATTAAATTCTTGAAACATCATGATTCTTTATCCCACCATCAGCACACAAATATAGGAAACTCAAACAACTGAAAAACTGAACATGATCTGCTTAAGTACGCTCTAAAACTCCTTTAAGGGAAAAAAAAACTCTTAAAGTCTTAATCCTTAGTCTATACATTTAGGCATCTATACAATACGTCTTATAATAATATTGTCTTGTACACATATATACTATGCTTGTCTCACACTTTTAGGCAAGTATCACGTGCATTGCACTCTAAATGCTTTTAAAGCTTTAATGGAAAAAATAATGTATTCACACTAAAGAGAAACTACGGACAAAATAAGGTCTTGCGTTAAAATTTCATTGGAATTTTCTCTGTGTGAAGGGTGAAAAGGATAACTATTGCATTGTTCTGTATATCTGAAACTAACAATAAAAAAAAATTTCATTGGAATTTGAAATTAGGAATAAAAATAACAACTAATATATGCGTATGCCAAGCACTGTTCTAAATCTCACTTCCAGGACCTACAAATCTGACCTAGATATTCTTGGTAGAAAAGGACCGAGTTACAGTTTCCTAGATCAATAAGAGTAGATATCACTAAAAAAAAAAAAAAATTAATTAATACCCCCACCCCCCAAAAAAGTACACATTACTTGTTCCTTTGTAAAATATAACCAATGTCTAAATATTGAACATGGTTCAAAAATGAATCAATCACCTATTTTCTCTGTATCGGGAGCTTGACTGGGGAGGACTATGATTTAACCTTCTGGAAAACTTCTTTTCTCGCTCTTCCTCCTTTATGATCTGATATACAAAAAAAAAATATGTAAAGGTTTAGCAATAGTTATTCCTTGCCATGCTACTATTTTGATGACTTAATTGATAGTAAAACTGTCACCTTCTAAAAGCATTCAAACAAATTTCTCTTCTAAGTACCATCATTTAGTTTATTACAGACAGACATAGTAAAAGTTAAAGTGAATCTAAATAAACTCATAAATATTTATCTTAAACAGTGGTGAGAAAACATTTTAAGTGTCCTCATGCTAACATTATTAGTGGAAACCCAATTGTATTACTCCTTTCAAAAGTCCACCATACATTCATGTTTTGGTTTCATGCATCTGGCATTAGGGAATATAGGAAAATGCATTAGAACTAACCAAGTCATAGAAAAAGAGAACATTTGAAGAAACAATATATAAGATGAAACAGCAGACAATTAAGTTCACGAACTTTCCACAGCGTACTTATTCCTCTTTCTTACAAGAAGCCTCCATTCATACTATATAATTAATAGAAAGCAACCCTGGAAAACATTGCCTTGTTCAGTGTACTTTCTCGAGGCCAGTTTCCTATGCTGTGCTGCCCAGCATACTGTTTCCATAGGACCTTAATAGGTGTTACTAGAAAAAAAGGATTTAAGATGATAAATTCAGGGGCCGGCCGAGTGGTGCGATGGTTAAGAACTGGCTTGGGACGCCAGAGGGCCACGGTTCGGACCCACATATGAGGGCCAGTGACACTGCCCTCCACAGCTAAGATGCTGAACAACAGCTCAACCTGGAGCTGGGCTGCCGTGAGTCACAGGTGATGGCGTAGGCTGCAGCCCCTGCTGCAGTGGGTTGCCATGGGCTATCGTGTGTAGCCAGCAGCCAGCGTGAGCGGCCAGCAGCGGCTGTGAGCGGCCGTCCAGAAGCCGGCGACTGATCTGCCTCGCCCGGGAAGAACTCAATGATGGTGCCAACTTGGGCCAGTGAAGCAACGTCCTCCACAACTAGATTGAAGAACAAAATGACAGCAACTTGTCTGTTCCCCTTCCCGCAATTCCCCAGCACTGTTCCCATCCCCCAATTCCCCAATAAAAATCTTTAAAAAAAAAAAAAAAGATGATAAATTCAGAAGTACTGAACACGTGGCTTATGTAAATATGAGGGCTAAATATTTTGCTTTTTTTTTTTAAGATTTTTATTGGGGAATTAGGGGAAGGGGAGCAGGCAAGTTGCTATTCTTTTGTTCTTCAGTCTAGTTGTGGAGGATGTTGCTTCACTGGCCCAAGTTGGCACCATCATTGAGTTCTTCCCAGGCGAGGCAGATCAGTCGCCGGCTTCTGGACGGCCGCTCACAGGCGCTGCTGGCCGCTCACGCTGGCTGCTGGCTACACACGATAGCCCATGGCAACCCACTGCAGCAGGGGCTGCAGCCTACGCCATCACCTGTGACTCACGGCAGCCCAGCTCCAGGTTGAGCTGTTGTTCAGCATCTTAGCTGTGGAGGGCAGTGTCACTGGCCCTCATATGTGGGATCCGAACCGGGGCCTTCTGGCATCCCAAGCCAGCTCTTAACCATCGCGCCACTCGGCCAGCCCCAATATTTTGCATTTTTAATAAGAAACCTAAGATAGTCTGATGCAGGTAGTCCACACATAATATAAACATATTCCAGTTTATGCTAGCTGCTCCAGCATCCCTTTGGGTAAAAATCTCTCATGTCCCACTTCGGATGATACATTAAATGGAAATCCTATCAACAGACCGAACTCTGACACTGCTTAAAAGCCTTCTTGTAAATTTGCCTTTTTTTCTTGTAAATACTTTGCTTCTCTTCCTACTCACATCAACCCTCTCCAACCCCTAAAATGGGTACAAATTAAAACCCTCCTGATGCACTTTTCATTTTCTATTTGCCTCAATGCACACTTGCGAGTTTATGTTGACAGACTGTCATATTCCACAGTACATGCTTCAAGGGATTTTTAACTGCACCCACAGCACTTTTAATCCAGATTGCCATCTGACATTTTGACACTTCTCAAGGATCAGGGATAAACATCCTTAACAATTGGTCAAAGAAACTATGATGAAATATTATTACATCAACAGATGTAAGACTAAGGCTTTGCCACTAACTATTGTAGTTTGGGGGGAAGACTTCTTATTGCTTCTCAAGCCAAGAGACAATAATTTACTAAAGATTTTGTAAGAATTAAAATATAATTTGTAATAGCAAAAACCTGGAACCAATCCAAACTTCCATCAGCGGGCAAAACTTTAAAAAATTATTATCTATCTCTATATGGCATAAGCAGTTGCCAGTACAATATCCATTATCCCTTTCTTCCTTACCAACAGAGCCCATACACTGTTTGGTATGAAATATGCGTTTTAAAATTATGTCTGCTCTTTCCCCTGAAGAGGGAAGTGATATGGGTATTTTGTGTGTGTCTGTGTAACTACATACACATACATGTGTATAAATATGTTCAGACATACAGAGATAAAAATATACTTGACAAAAATATATATTATATATGTATATTACTACATAATAAACGTGTATTATATAATCAGGAAAAAAAAGATTATGAGGAGAAAAAAACAAAGGTCACAACCACATCTTCCACTATACAACAATCTCTCAACAATAATAGCAACTACCATTTACTGAGAGCCTACTACGTGCCACATACTATGCCAGGTGCTTTATAGACATCATGTAACTATTCCTCACAACAACCCTATAGTATTTCCATTTCATATCTGAGTAAACTAATGCTCAGAAAAGTAGTTTTCAATGTCACAAAGAAGTGACTGGTAAAGCCAAAATTTTAACTAAGATCTGTTTGACCTAAAGTTAGACTAACTGCAGAAATAGCTTAACTGTCAATTATTTGTGCTGGAATTAACAGTCTTTAAACATCAAATTGAGGAGATATGATTATTAAACAGGAATGGTAATCTTGAAAAAAGGTTAAAACTTCAAAACCTCTTAAAGTATGAAGTCATTTCCATTGCCCTGTGAAGGTCCTTTTATTTGACCATCTTTAAAATAGTCCCCTACAAAACGCATGTAGGACAGAAGCAAACAGATCTACTGTCAACGCAATTATTTTCATAGAATACCAATAATAAAAGTCCATAGCTGTAAGATACTGTACAGAAAAGAGTTAAAAGCAAGCCTGAGTCTGTTATCCTTAGAAAGACCACTTGCAAAATAGGCCCTTAGCTGGCGTCTGCAAACTTTGATTTCTGGAGGGTTCTATAATTCCTTGATAATAGCTCATTATGCCTGAATTGTTTATGTACACAATATGGTTTATGCTGAACACCTGCCTTCCTCCTGGGAGTTTGGAATTTGGGTATATACTAAGGCAGAAGCAACCTATGTGGCCAGACAGAAATAAAAACCCTGGGCACTGAGTCTGTAACGAGCTTCCCAGGTTCACACATTTTGTCACTACTCATTAAGCACATCCCGTGTGACTCACTCGGAGAGGCCTTTGGAAGCATGCACCTACTGTCCCCCAGACTTCACACCATATCCCCTTTTCCCTTTGCTGATTTTCCCTTTGCTGTTTTTAAAGAACATGTAAAGCTTACCACAAATCCTTACCTCTTCCTTTTTTATATCTTTTTCTTGGTGCTGAAAAAATTCTACCTTCAAGCTTCCTGATGATGGCTGTTCTGGAGGAGGTAGGTAACTCTTTGTATTCACAGCATCAAAAAGTTTTTCCACAAATATCTGTGTCTCTAAAGATATAACCAACAAACCACAGGTTAAAAGACCTTTGCTAAGATATTAATTCTCCACTTAACAGCTTCCTGACCAGTGTGCCATGGCACAAGTCCCATGGTAACACTGATCCATTCAATCTTCAGGGTGATGAGAAGTAGAAAGGCCAGAGCTTCTGGGACAGTCGCTTGCAGCCATGATGAAACCTCCATGTACAACAGCCAGTATGCAAAACACAAATATTACCATTATCTAGATGTTAGCAAAGTGAAAAAAGCAGCAGCACTGGGCTAAACAACACTCAAAGTAGTTTCCTAAGATGTGCTATTTTTGAATAAACAAGCATTCAGTTTTCTTAATCTTTAAAGAAAAAATATCAGCATACTTTAATAAAGAGCATAAGGATGTTAATGAAAGAAAAGGCCTCCTTTATAAATAAGCTATGGATATAATCAGTAATAATACTATTTGTTCAACTTTGTTACAATTAGAACTTGTCTCTTACTGAGTTTCTTCAATAGTGTGGATAATCTCGTTTTTAAATAACTTATTAAAATAAAATGGTCCTTTTACGCCAAACATCTTACCTTTTTGAAGAAATACATCCAGTTGATCAATACATAGTGCTTTTAACTCTTTTTCACTTTTGTCTTTTTTTACCAAAGCGAGAACATATTTTGCTAGGGCTGATGGATCTGCATCACAGCTGAAGGAAAAAAGCGATGTTGAAGAAAGTTTAGCCATAAATTGCATGTCCCACAAATTCCAATTACAAACTGACATAGTAAATATGATAGTTACATGAATTAATATATGCAAAAAGTACCTGGCTCTTGGAAGGCAATAAAGAAATGTAAGTTCTCCCTTAAACTAATATACTTTAAATGATATATGTAAGTCATCATTCAGTATACTTCCAAATATATACAGTAATAGATGTATAAAAAACTTAGTAGACTTTATTATTAAAAAGAAAAATTATAACAAAGTAAAAACAATTTTGAAACATCAAAAACTAATATAATTAGTGAGGTTCCAATCAAAATGCCAAAAGGTTTTTTCTCATCAGAAATAAATAGCCAGGAAAACACAGAGAGTGCAATAAAGGGAAACTTAAAAACATAGCACACTGTGTTATTTAACAACAGAAAAGAAAATCTAGAAATAGACCCAAATATATATAGGAATTTAGATTTTATAATGGTGGCATCCAAATCAATGAGGAAGAGATGAACTATACTACCTACCTGACCCTAATTTCCTGACCCACAGGAATGATAAATGTCATGACATGATAAATATTTGATGTGTTACTACTAACGTAAGTTTTGGGATAATTTATTAGTAATCATGAATCAACTTTTCTCATAGATCTACTTCCATTTATTTACAGAGTTGAAGTGGGTTACTATCCAAACAAGAAGCACAAAAAAAAAAAAAAATCCATTTCAATGGTGCAGGAAAGATTTAAAAAAACTTTTTCCTTGAAATTTACTTCAATATACTTATACTAATGAATTTTTAAATATACACTAAATAATTTATGGAAAATTAACATTTTCATGTCATAATGAGCACAGAAATACTTAGATCTGTTATGAAATAAGCATGAAGTAATGGGACAATAACGTCATGATGTATTTGTCTATAGATATAATTGGCAATCTGGTAAAACTCCATGAGAGACCATAAAATAATACTTATTCATGTTAAGTAACTTGAATAAGCAAAATCAACTTAACAATAACCTAACTAGATACCAAGCTAAACATATTTCAGTTTACTGGAAATCACTGTAATGCATAACACTATCACTGTGTTATATACTGCTTCATTGAAATTGCTGTTAAGAAACAAATTCAGACATTCTACATTGAGTCACCAAATATTAAAATTTGATTCAACATTGGTTTGATTGTTTTGGGGATTTTTCAATTTAATAATGGCCTTTCTAATGATGTAACTGTTACTTTACATTTACATTACTAAACTAAACACCAAATCTGTTCCATTCCCACTCCATTATTTTTTAAACAGGGCACTTTAACAGTGGATTAAAATGTTAGCAGCTAAAACTATGGAGAAAGACCTTTGTGATTTTTATAATTAATATAGTCTATGAACGACAGTTTTATAAAACAACACAATAGAATTCCTGAACAATCTTTGCTCAAACAACTTCTTTAGGAAGCAATTTGAATCAAATCAAGAACCAATAAAAGTCACAACCACAACAAATCAAAACTACCATATACAAAAATTTTAATGCATCAGGTAGTCTGAAAGGCAAATAGATTACTTTTTAAAATGTGTTAGAGTGCAAATTATATACTATAGGGTTTATAATTTCACATTTAAAAGCAAAACAGGTAAATTTGTATTCAAGAGGTAATTTTTCTTAAGTCCTATAAGAAGTCATTTCCATTATTTATTTCAATATTTTTTGGGGAAAAAAAGAATAAAGGTATGTACTTGTAAATTATAGCCTACTAAAAAAATAATCTGAACCACAAAGTTTAATAATATACCCAAATGTTATGGATCAGGGACAAGCAAAATAAGTAGTGTTCTCTTTTCTACTTGTCTTAATTAAAAGTGCCAATGCTACATCATCTGAACATCTAGCAATGATAATCTGCTATGCAAAATTAATGATGTAAAGCGTATAAATTACCTAATCAAAAGAAAACTATATTCACGTAAAAGGTTACTTTTAAAAAATGGTATCCATGGCAAACAAGACTGTTCTTTAGGTACTTGACTACACCAGTTACCACTGCCGAAAATAGGTTTGTGATTTGAATGACATTATCTTGTTAGAGCTAGAATATACCCTCCTTCTGCTATACTGCTAGCATTCTGGAAATGTGTGAAAGAAAAGTGGGGCTGAAATCTTTCAGACCAGAGAGAGAAACAAAAAAACAAAAACAGATTTTAAAAATGTTTAAGGACAAAGAAATACTACTGAAAATGACAGACATCATTCCACCTTAGAAAACAGGCCAAATTCCCACTGCTTCCATATTTCATAAGTACTTAGCCCAGCAAAAACAATCTGCCAACAAAGCATGATTCTAACCACACAGTACTTATAAGAAAGTCTCCCAAAAGAACTAAATTTTCTTAATACTTAAAATAACATGAATCAAATCTGCCCTAACATAAAGGCTATAATTGCTACTACTAACACACTCATACTATCAGTTTTTATTTTTTAATCTAGGATTTTCAAAATAGTAATGAGACAGTAAAAAAAGCTAACACTCCAGTACAATATTTCAAAAAGAAGTTTTAATTACAGAAGGTATATAATGTTTCCAACCCCCAACCCACCTTTTTTTTTTTTTTTTTTTTTTGTATTTCTGGCTAATTTTGCTTGTTTTTCCTTTCAAATTAACTTTATATTCAGCTTGTCTAATGGCAAAGTAAAAAGAGATTAATGGTGAAAAGAAAAAACAAAAAGAAGTTAGTATTGTTTTGCTCAAGTTTCTTAGAGGCTTTAGAATTCAGTAGAAGATAACTGATGAAATTTAACCAAAGCTTCCATTTTCAGTAATCTTGAGAAGGAGGAGCTGGAGGTGGCAGTGGGAATTTAAAATTAAATTTAAATATGTTAACTCAGTAACTTTAGAACATGGATATACACCCACATCTGTTCCTTCCAAATTTTCACTTTGTATTCAAAAAAAATATCTAACTTGCATCAGCCATATTTTCTGTGCTTAGAATTATTCTTTTAAAAACCCCAATTACATTGCAACAAATTTAATATATACATTGAAAAATTCAATTGCTGTAGTTTATTATACAACTTCATTCAATTCAAATAAGGAGGTAAAAATAGATTATTTGTATGTAGCAATCAGTTACAGCAAAGGTTACTCATTGAGAAATACCACACCACTTCATTCTACAAAAATCACCACCACAAAATAAGCATATATAAACATGATCCATCCATAAGCATCATAGAAACCACTTCTTATCGCTAAAAAAGCTTATCACAGTACATGTAATTATAACACTGAAAACTATTCAGTCAGTTCCTTCATTTCCCTGTATTACCACCCCAGGAAATAGCAATGATTCCTTATTACCTTGATAACAGTGGTTCTCAAACTTTTCAGTCTCAGTATCTCTTTACACTTTAAAGATTATGAAGAACTCCCAAGCACTTTTATTTCAAAGGGTTATATCTAACAATATTTATCATATTAAGAAATAAAATTGGGAAACTTTAAAATAATTAAATAAATCCATTACAATTTAACATAAATAACCCCCATTTGGGGGAGGGGTAATCAAAAGGAGAAAATTATTGGCACAAATAAATGGGAAGTCCAATGGTGGGGCTAACGTTAGGCACAGCTGGATCCAGGATTTAAATGATGACACCAGGACCCCCTCTTTCCATTCTGCTTTCCCTGGAATTTGCTTCATTTGCAGGCAGGCCCTCTCCATGTAGCAATAAAGATGGCCCACAGCAGTACCAGGCTTACGAGTACATTATTCTGGAAGCTAGAGAAGCCAGAGAAAGGGGCCTGCCCTTCCCTCCCCTGGCATCATACTGGTCCTTAAAAACGATTCATGTTCCCCAGAGCGGGCCACAACATCATTTCAGAGCAAGGATGGGCAGAGTTCCATGAATAAACCTCACTGGAAACGAAATAGCCTATTTTTTAATGAAAAAATAATTGTATTTCCACAACAAAATAAATTTTAGTGAGAAGACTGACAATGTTTCACATTTTTTGCAAATACCATTAATGTCGGGCTTAGAAGATGGACTGATTCTAATATTTACTTTTACTCATACATTCAATGTGCTGTGATATGCTGTTCTGGTTGAAATATATGAAGAAATCTGGTCTCACACAGATATACAGTTGGAAAAGTAGGGACTTCATAGACACTGTGAAATATGAAATGGTCTCAGGAAAGTCCAGGAATCCTTATACCACACTTGAGAACCACTGTTTTAAACTTTAGAAGATTTTAATTGTCTAATTCAAAGACAAAGTCAATTTTCATCTTCTCAAAGGTAGGACCCAATAATCAGATTGTAAAACTCTATGCTCTTCAGCGCAAAGAGCACAGCCCAAATGGCAAACTGAGCACAGATAGGTATGGTCATGCCACAGAACTCTCTCTTAAAAGAAAAGTGGAACTACAAACGAAATGCTGACGTGGCAGCCCACAACAAAACCCCACATTCAGTATGTTTTAAATTCCAAATCATAGCTCTCTGGGACAGGGTTCTGCCTTCCAAAGGCCATCTGAACTGAACTCCAAAACCCCAGGGGTTTTCAGATTTATAGTCTGGTGTTATCATATTCTCTTCATTAATTGGTAATCCTGGGTTACTATTCTATTTCTCTAGGCTTCAGTTTTCTCCTTTTTAAAACAAAGCCACTGAACCATATGATTTGGGGGGGGGGAAGTGATCATTTTTAGGTATAAAAACTAAGCTTTCACCATCATTGTACTCCCTCCCTCCTCTTATTCCCAGGAACTTTTAGTTAACTGAACTTTAAAATAATTAAGTATGTAATAATTTTGTTTTACCTCTAGGTCTTTCTCAAGAGCCATAGAATCCCCCTTTCTGACACTCATGAGCAAATTTTGAAACTTTGGGAGGGATAAATAATAACTAAATTCTACTAAGTAGAAACATTTTATATATTTCTCCTACACTGGCAGCCCTTA